ATACGAGATGATACGAGATGTTAGCCCACAGGTGGAGGGAATTGAGGGAACTCTAGAGTGAGAGCTAGTATCTTCCCTGCCTAGCCGGTCTTCAAAACTATTCAAACTTTAAATTACCAAATGTTTTTTATAGCATCTCTAGTAAGGGTAAAAATTATTATTGCTTCTATTTGGCACAACACAATATGCATACTTCCACAACAAAATTTCTATACTTATTACTGATTCTTCATGATAAGGAGATTATTTTCATATTTAGTACTTTTCTTCTACAAAAACTCAAGTTATCTTTTTAAGTTTGATCTATTTTTGTCAAAATATTAAAATTACCAAAAATATTTAACTTTCTTTACTGCAAAAACGTCTTTAGTTTAAATAATTTTTTTTTAAATAGAAAGTTTTCCAAAAAGTGCATATTGCATATCTTCCTTGTGGTTTCGATATTTAATTCTTAATCAAAAAGACATCTATTACGTTATTTACTTGATAATGATACGTATAGATACGTATACTTGCGTAGTGTCTCAATATATATAAATTAAAAGTTAAATTCTTATTTTTCTTCATTTGATTTTCTTGTGAAATAAAGAAATATAAGTGAAAAAAATAATCAGAATAATTATTATATTGTTGCATATAAGCAGTTTCGGGATCATCTACATAAGCTTGAAAAAGAAGAAGGAATGATGATTGCAGTTGCTGACATCAATGTAGATTGGCGTAAGCCATTAATAGAATATTTGCAAACTAAAAAGGTTCCAGAAAATAAATCGAAGGCATATCACATCACAAGGGCTATGTCGTACGCTCTGGTGGGAGATGTTCTCTGCAGGAGATCATTCGATCAGATGTGGTTGCGATGCCTGAGCAGAGAAGAAGCACAAAATATTATCAAAGAAGTACATGTTGAATTTTATGGTGCTCGCCAGTTGGGTCCAAAGATAAAGATGAAGATCAAAAGACTCGGATATTATTGGTCAGCGATGATATTCAATTGTATCGATACAGGTAGAAGGTGTCACCTTTGACAGGTGCATGGGGTTGTCATACACCAACCTCCGAATGTCCTACACCAAACTGTTGCTTTGTGGCTATTTGAGTGTTGGGGCACAAACATAATATGTTCGATAAACCCTCCAGCCTCCAAGAGACATTGATTTATTCTATCCGCAACGAATTACTTTTCTATGTGGGCAGAAGTAGTGTCATTATGAGAGATTACAACACAACATGTCTTGCAATTTTTTAAGACCAATATAGTCTACCATTTTGGTGTTCCACATTGAGTAATTTCCGACAATGGGACAGCCTTAAAAAGCACAAAAATCAAAAACTTTGTCAAACGACAGGGGATAGATTGGAAATACTCAACAATCTACTATCCCAGGACAAATGGCTAAGCTGAGGCTTTCAACAAAACACTGGTGTAGATTCTAAAAAAGACACTGGACAAAAATAAAAGAGATTGGCATAACAAACTATTGGAAGCTTTGTGGGACTACCAGACAACGTTCAAGACTCCCACTCAATGTACACCTTATGTGCTTGCGTACGGGTTTGAGGCCGTACTACTGCTAGAAGTTCAGACACAGACTCTCAGAGTCGTCGTTGCCAACCAAATCACAACTGAATAAAGTGCAAAGCTCAAACTTGAAGAAATGGAAAATCTTGAGGGAAAACGACTAGAAGCACAACAAAACTTGGAGCTCTACCAAGCAAGAATGGTGCAGGCTCATGGCAAATTGGTCCGCCCGAGGGTGTTTAAAGTTGGCAATCTTGTCCTCATTCTCAAAAGACCTATTCTTACACATTGTAAAATAGGTAGAAAATTTTAACCAACTTGGGAGGGACCATTTGTCATAGAAGAAGTTTACTCAGGAGGATCTTACCAACTAGTGGATTTTCGGGGTGAAAGACCTATGTTGTCGGTCAACGACCGCTACTTGAAGATATATTACCTTACGTGACGCTGCTCAAAATCAACATTTACTGTTGAAATTTTGAATGTTTTGGGGTTATTTATTTGGCCAAACGTTTGTGAATAATTCCAAAAAGAATTTTGTAATAAATTTACCTCAATAAAATAAATTTTTTTTCGGGTTTGCACATTTTTATTTCCCTTTTTCTGTTTCTAATTTCAAAATATAGTTAAATTAAAAGATAAACTGATTAAATAAAATTTTCAAATAATTAAAAAAATTTTGTTTAATAAGTGCTTCGTTCTTGTTCTTGTTCATGATGAATGTCAGCGCACTGATGTTTTTTCTGTCTTCTGCAAAAGAAATGTCGAGACGCAAGCTGATTTTCTCTTTTCAATATGGCCTCAATCTCACACTGAATGAAGAAAGGGCTGCTCAGGGTGGTATTATAGACTTGGACTTAGACTTCAGTCAAGTCAATATAGAATATGAGAATCCCCTGATGGACCTGGGGGACGTCGTCAGTCAACGGGAAAAGGAAGGATTACCATCTCTGCTAAAGATGGGCACCCGATAAGGCTCCTCGCGGAAGAGGAAGAAGATGATCATGCAACAACAATATCCAGTCAAAGGAACCAGTCTCCTACAGTCTCTGATAACTGCTCCAACAGAGGATTTGGTAGGTGCCAATGAGGAGAGAGTGTTGGATGCACTGCTCAGAAGAACACAACGACGCAATGCTAACCGACATAAACATAGAGCCTTCCAGCGGAAAGAAAGAAGATGACAAAAAGAAGCAGTAGGTTTACTCACCCCTATTCCTCATGAGAAGATTTATGAGCCATGTATGAGGGAGACCTCTTCTACCTCACCTGATACGGAGGATGAGTTAGAGCCGACCACAGAGCCAATACAAATAGAAATACTCCATGATTCATACAAAGGTTGCTCAATATGCAATGTTGAAATCCCCATAAGAGCATCTAATAGAGGAGCATTTGTTGAATGTCCAATATGCAATGTTCTACATTTGGATTGCAATAGTTCTTTTTAAGAGTTTACAATCATCGGTATGGGAGGCCAGGAGGCAGCGCATCTAGATGCAGAGTCGTACATCCCATTACCAGAGCAAACATGGGTTCTTAAAAATGTCAAGACAAGGAGACAGCCCATACAGTTTGATGATTTTCCACAGCAGAGTTAAAGAGAATGTTCAGAGTCAAGAGAAAAGAATTTGAGTTCTATGAAGAAGTTTAAGGTGAAATGGTCAACATTTTGGAAGGTTTGGCACTGTACACTGGTGTCTTCTCGAAAAATGATGAGAAAAGGATTTTAGATTTTGTATTCAACCTGAGAGACAGAGGTCGAGCTGGTTTGCTGAGGCCGAGAACTTATTCAGAGCCGCGGAAATGGATGTGCAGGAAGGGTAGAATAACCATTCAATGTGATTGTTGCTACAACTTTACTGAAGATAAGCAAGGGAACCCCACTGAAATATTAAGATATGATGAGATGGATCCAAAGCCTTATGCAATAAAAAGAATGGTCAAGTGGCTAATTCGATGGAGTATACTACCACCCGTTTGCATCCCTAACAGCTGCATAATAAATATCTACGAGAAGGGGAGTTGCATCCCTCCCCATATTGACCACCATGGCTTTGTTAGACCTTTTTATACAGTGTCTTTCATAAGTAGGAGCAATATACTCTTCAGAAATGAGATCAACATCATTGGCCCTGGAGAATTCAGAGGGTCCATTGAGATTCCATTGCCGATGGGCTCAATGCTGGTTTTGAAAGGAAATGGAGCGGATTTGGCCAAATACTGCATCCTTGGAGTGCGATATCCCAGAGTTTTTGTAATTTTTAGAAGAATACAAGATGACAAGATACCGTGGGGGTTCCTTCCGGACCTGGAATTGAAAGAAATGCAGCCTTATGAGCTATGAGAAAGTTACACCTCTAAGTACAAGTAAAAGGAGTGCTTATCCTGGAGCAAGGCTTTGTAGGTCAGCTTGATCAGGAGCTGATCCCACCAAAGATGGATAGTTAATAGACTTCTTTTTGTACCATGTTTTGATGTAGCAGATGTGATGAGACATGTATCTAATATATTCATCCTATGATATGTATTCAGTATATGGTATTTCAGATGTGTTCAACATGTTGTCTTTTGATGTTTCAGCATGTACTCAGTTTGTAATTCATATTTCAAGCAGATTAATGAAATTTCTTTCAAGTTTTAACTTACTTGTCAAATTTCCCTCTTAGTTCGATTGATAAAGCTTAATGGAACCATACGGCATTTCTAAATTATAATGAACAAAGAACGATATAACAGATACCTGATATTAAAATTTAAAATATTTTTGAAAAGTCAAACAACAAAAATCAAAAATTGAAAGTATATTTTGATAATTAAACATGATAAAAACAACAAGAAAATAAAATGACAAGTTTTCTGAGTTTGTTTAGCTCGGGTTCGGGGTTTCTTACTCTTTGCTTACGCAGTGCGACTATCCTGGTCTGCACCAATTTTCTTTAGATCCTCACAAGATTTCATATTCTGCACAAAATCTCACAAAATTTTGCAAGTTTTCCTCACTAATGACAATCTTCACATGCCACATATCTATAAGGTTGACACCGCAAATTCTTTGCACTATTTTCATTTTTTTCTCGGGGTCAGTACTGAGATTTTGATTCCCTCCACTACCTCTTGGGGTTGGATTTGATTCCTTGAGCATTCCTTCCCAATGCAGTGGTATATCCCTGATCATCTCTTAATTTGGATCCGAGTCTTTGTGCTTTCCTTCTCAATCTGATCTTCTCCACTATCTCTTGGGTTGGATATGAAGTCCTTGAGCATTCCTTCCCAACGTAGTGATATGTTTCCAAATAATATCAACTTTACAGGAAGAGGATACAGACATCTAATTTTGCATTGCTTTACAATGATCCAAATATCAACTTTGGGGGAAGAGGATACATACATCCACTTTTGCATTGCTTTGCAATAATATCAACTTTGGGGAAAGAGGATACATACATCCGCTTCCCCATTGCTTAGCAATAATATCAACTTTAGGGGAAGAGAATACCGACATCCACTTCCGCATTACTTTGCAATAATATGAACTTTAGGGGAAGAGGATACAGACATCCACTTCCACATTGTTTTGGAATAATAATATCAACTTTGGGGGAAGAAGATGCTGACATCCGCTTCTGCATTGCATAGCAATAATATCAACTTTGGGGGAAGAGGATACAGACATCCACATCCTCATTGCTTTGCAATAATATCAACTTTATGGGAAGAAGATACAGATATCTGCTTCTGCACTGCTTAGCAATATTATCAACTTTGAGGGAAGATGATACAGGCATCCGCTTCCACCCGCTTCCACATTGCTTAGTAATTTGCTTAGTAATAATATCAACTTTGGGGGAAGAGGATACATACATCCGCTTCCACATTTCTTAGCAATAATATCAACTTTGGAGGAAGAGGATGCAGACATCTATTTCTACATTGCTTTGCAATGATCCAAATATCAAATTTTAGGGGTTAAGGGAACAAGCCCTTTGATTTATTCAGGTCATCCCGCTCCCATTCTTTGAGATCAGCTTAAGACCATCTTAAATGGAGTAAGGCATCTGATTCTCCTGCTGTGATTGATACCTGAATTTCAATTTTCATCTTGGGGTCAATACCAAAATCCTAATTCAATTCCTTCAATATACCCAAAACCTGATAATTTAATATCCGCCTTCTAATCCCCAACAAGAGCTCTGAATCTTTGATTTTCATCAAGTGTTCACTTGTTAAATCCCCAACAAAAATAATTGTCACTCAAGTCTGCTCTTTGCCCTAAGTCTATTAACTTAGAAATATGTGTTCGTATTGTTGATCTCGCTGGTCAACGGCAATACGTGCGGTGTGCTTGCTTGACACACCACACCTATTAGGGGTCTATTTGTTGACCTCCCTTTTGGTTGAGGTCTAGTTTTGTCCTATTTAGTAGCCTAGGGTCTAGCCATAGGACTTTCCTGTTGACTATTTCTAGAAGACTAGAAAAGGAACCCTCACCATTAGAAATTCTAAACCCTTCTTTACTCAACTTGAAGTTCCACATGTTGGTCCTAACCTATAGCACTTAGTAGGTGGGGTCAATATGGAGGATCTCAAGGGGAGTCCCCTATAGAATGGTTAGACCTTAGGACTAACCCTAGGTTATCTGGTTTTGGTTGGGCTAACTGGCACACACTACACTCATATACCCCAAATCCTAGGACCCCTTAGGTTGGTCTCCTGATTTCTTCTGAAAAGCTCATATGGATGAACCTATACCCCTGGTCTTTAGCTAAGAGGGTTAGAGCTAGCATATTGAGCATCCAAAATGAATCCTCATATGGCTCCTATTGGTTTGGTATGACTTCATGGCTTGTTAGCTCATTTCAGGCCAAAATCACCAAATTACCAAAATACCCCTACAACCCTAATTTTTACTAAAAATCTTAAAATACCTAATTTTGTCCAAAAATCATCTCAAACCACTCCCCACAACCTAAATTGATCAAAATTCACCAAAGTTACCAAATTTTCAAAATACCCTAAAAATTTGCTAAAATTACCAAAATGCCTCTCATGACCTAAAAATTCCCAAAAATTCCAAAATCATCCCAAATATTCTCAATTTTAATTTTTCACCATCATATTGACCCAATTTAACCAAATTTACCCAATTTGACCAAAGCCCCAATTTTCCTTAAAGGCCCAAATGTCCCCAAATTAACCCCGGTTTGGCCCAATTAGCTCCAAGATTGCCCAATTTCAATTCTAAATCAAAATTTTGCATCACAAATCCTACTCTAAATAAAATTCAAGCCCGTTTTGATCCAACTGCAAGCTCAATTTCACCCAAATAATAAACCCCAATTTTGACTATATGACTAAATCCACCAAATTGGCCTTTCAATACAATTCAAAACCATTTGAAATTCTTCCAAATCCTTCATGACATATTCCTACATCAAATTAAACATTCAATTGGCCCAAATTTAAACTTAATTTTAAAACCCTAAGCCCACCACATTTAATTCCAAAGGCCCAAATCCAAAGGACATTTAATTCCAAAGGCCCAAATCCAAAGCCCACATGATAATTTCTTTTCTCTTCATCATCCATTCAATTAAAAGCACTCCCTAAATTTCAAATTCATCAGCAAATAAAACCAAATTCAGGCTCATGAAAAGCCCTCTCAAAATACCAAAAATTCCAAAAATCCTTTTTAATGTAAATTAGCCTAGCCAAATGCAAGCCATGAAGCCATTCCCAAGCCATAGGTGAGCCATGAGAGCCTTGCCACATCAACATGCTATTAATGTCAAGAGGCCAAGCAACTTTCAAATATCCTTAAGATTCTCTCCCATGAATCACTCTAACCCATGATTTGACAAATCTCCTTAGATAGAGACCTCACCATGATGATTGAGTTGAGCCATTTGATTTTCTTTAACCCAAACCTTTCTTGAGGGTTGAACATAGTCCCAAACCATGATTTGACCCTAATTGACCCAAAATAACCCTTTCCCCATACAATTTCAATTCAATGTATTTACACATGGCCCACCTTAATTAACTTCACTAAACCCAAGCCCTGACCTCCCTGGACTGGATGATGACCTGAACGTGGCTGGCCGTCCACCTAGGCTGTCGGAAAAGTCATGGCCAACAGCTCACCCATGTCCAAAACTCAAAATTAAACCCATCCAAACTGTCTCATCCCAATTGGATTTTTGCACCTTGTTGGCATCCACATAAGCAATCCAAAGCACCCACCAATTGCCCCTAGAGGCCTATCCTTCCACCTCTATTTAAACCTACCTTCCATGACCAAACAAAGAGAGCTTAAAATTCCTTAGGGAGACTCTGCCAAATTGCTTTCAAAGCTTCTTCAAGACCTCCTAAGTGCAATGCAACCATTCCCCGGCCCTTTCCTCCACTGATCAAAGCCAATTTTGTAACTCTAATTTGAGGCTGAATCAGGACATCTCCAATACCTCCACCAAATTCAAATTATTTGCACCCAGACCATCCTCACATGGAGAGAAGAAGATCCCCCACAAAAGCCCCATCACCAGAGCACACTAAGGTGTACTTTGATCAACACGCCAAATAGGCCTTTGTCAAAATTTGGTCTAAGCATGTCACCTCAGCTTGAGGCTTCATCTAGGAGCTCTTTGGACTCAAGGAAAGTTTTTGGAAGCACCCAATTTAGGCCACACCTCTTGGGAAAAGGTATTGAACTCTCCCCTTGAACCGAGCTTCATTTAATTCTCCATACTTATAAGATCTATTTAATGCTTGGTCAACTATATGGATATGTTCTCCTAGTCAAGATGAATCTATAGAAACAAACCTCACTTAATTTGGTTAAGTATCGAGAGAGATATTAGGGTTTGAATGTGGGTGGTTCTTGGGCTAGGGGGTTTTGGGGATGATGACCCTCAACCGTCTGATGGAGCATGTATCGAATGGAGGGTCCTGATGCGGTTGGACGAAGCTTCAATGCGTGAATGACAGGCTGACTCGGACGGCGGCACCTAATCCCGCGGTGACACGCGTCCATTCAACGAGTACGGGGATCCAGTCAGGGCTAACTGGTTTTAGTAGGAAAATAGGCTTTTATTTGAATTATTTAATGGCCAGAATATTTAATGGCCAGAACTTAGTATTTAATGGCCAGAACTTAGAAAATTCATATCTTTGCGTAGAAAATTCACAAAAATAAAATAAAAATATCCTCTTGCTCAATGAATGGAATAGAACAATGTGGAAATGGTTTTATATTTTTTTTTATGCATGTATGATTTTTAATTAATTAAATGGTGTTTAACTTATTTGGACTCTTCATTTTTATGGACATTTCACCATGACATTATT